GGTTTTTAAAAAGGTAAATAAGTGATTTTTGCTTCCACACATAAAAGAGAGTTTTGGTAGCTATAGTCCAGGAAATCCTCAAGGACCCATCTTCTAACTTAGCTCTCGGTCATCCCTAAGGTGTTGTCTCACTCTCATGGTCAAAGGTGCAGCATTCCCTATTCAGGCAGTATGACAAATAAAGGAATGAAAAAAAGAAGTAAAAGAGAGCAGTTTCTTAAGGATGTTTTCTAGAAACAGTCAAAGGACATATCTGCTTCCATCTTGTTAGCTGGAACTTAGTTACTTGGTGAGGCCTAGCTGGAAATGAAACTGGAAAATGTAGTCTTTATTCTGGGTGCTCAGTATGCTCAGTTAAACACTGTATAACTTGAACAAGGGGAGAGTGGATTTCGGGGGTCTATTATTAATAGTAGTATTTCCCAATATTCTTTTTCTTTGTTGTACTTGGTTCACATTTTTTTTCTATAGTAGCACTTGGTGTAGTGTCCTCAGACAAATCATATAACCTCTCCAAGCCTCAGTTTCTATATCTGTTTAATGAGAAGGAATGTTAAGTATAAATATTTCATAACTGTTAAACAGACGTAACTCTTTACTAGAAATTTACCATCTTAGTTGTTGATATTGCAATAATATAGTTTCATAAATCCTTATCTTTATCAACTACCAATTTTGATTTCCACCCTTTGGCTGCACATGAGCATAGCTACACCTTGAAAATGCCATCTCTAAAATTTTGGCCTTTGAAATTCCTCCTTCTGTCCATAAGCCTTATAGCCCTGTAGTTTTTTCGTTCCTATGTTTTTATTGAACATGCCTCTCATAATTTCTCACGGATTGATAGTTCATCAGCTTCTTTCTGGTCCATCTTGCCTCCCTATTCTGTCTGGCTCTCCAGGTCAAGCAGTTCAGTGATATTCTTGCTAACATCCCTATATCCTTTTGGTTTCCTAATTTACTAAATACTTCTTATATCCACTTTTAGGAGCTCAGTCTATTAAGAAAACAGACATTGGATAAATTTAGGGAGAGGGGACAGCCTGAGTTGTTTTGGAGAACTGAGGTGTGATGAGGAGTGAATGGGACTGGGGGAAGGGTATTCCGGCATGGGGCACAGCATATGCAGAAGCAGGACTCTGAGAGATGGAAATGTATTAAAAGGACAAGTGGTTTGGTATTGTTGGAACATGAAGTGAGAAGTAAGAGTCTTGGAAAATGAGATCTGACAAGTAAGCAGGGGTCAGATCACAGAGGGCCTCATCAGAGATTTAGATATGATCCGACAGGACAATAGGTCATTGCCCATTTTATCCCTCCATAACTATGCAGAACATACAGTGCACACATTGTAGATACTGCCATGTCAGACCCAGATCCTGATTGGGGGGGTGGCTTCACAATAAAATAGGCTTCGGGTTATGCATGTTTTCTAGTGTGTAGCCTATGACTCCACCCCTTTCTCACGACTGATCCCAACATACTGTGTATAGATAGAGAACTGCTGCTATAGGTGGATAATGATGTGATAAAATCTGCTTGCTAGGAAACTCCATGTGAGGAGAGACAGTGGGAAGATGAGGTGGGATGGGGAGAATCATCCTTCTTCTTTCCTTGAAATGCTCCCTTGCCTTGATTTTCATAACACTGTTATCTCTTGAGTTTGTTATCACCTCTTCTGAACGCTTCTTTTAATCTCTGGCAGTTTTACTTCCTCCTACTTTGTTCTTCAAATTGAGGATTCCTTATAGAGTTGGTGTTGACTTTCATCTCTCTCGTTACTTTTGCAATGATCTCATTGATTTCATTTAGTCTAATGGCCTTCGCTATGATGTCTCTGTAGTTGATCCCAAATTGAATTAAAGCCCAGCTCTCACTAGTTCTATTTGCATATTTGATTGCTTCCAACTGAAAGTACCTGTGTCCTTAAAATATATCATGTATGAATTTTTATTTTTTTGTATTCCTCATTTGTGTTAGTGGTACCGTAACATTCTCAGCCTGCAAACTCAAAGTATCATCCCCATCTTAGCTTCCTCTGTATTTTCTGTTATTCCCCTTGCTGCCAGCCTAGTTCAGAACTTCATTACCTTTGCCTGGGTCATTACAATAGTTACCTAGTTTCATCCTACCTCTCGTCCTGTTTCCTTCCTTCCATTTTATGCACTGTTGTTAGATTTGTCTTCCTATGTTTAGAAAACAGTTTTGACCATATTATTGTTAAAAAACTATTGTCCATAATTGAATTTTCAGTATATTTTCAACTAGTTTTCTTTACCCACACATAAGTCCTCCAAACATAAAAATTTGTAATTTTTTTTTTTTTTTTTTTT